AATGAATGAGAGGGGAGGCAAACTCTTTAATCAAAATAATATCTTTAGAGCGAGAGAATAGGATTAATATCCTCTATTACAAATCATCAATAGAGTGAAACTAATAGATAGCATTTTAATAGAACAAACCCCCTAGCTCAAATGCTTTTTTGTTAAGTCCCTCTTGAAATAGCCCAATTAGGTTTCTATAGACGGGGAGGATAAGAGGGAGAGAGAGGGATGTTACCCAAAATAGGATGCTTAGGCCCTATTAATCAATGAGGGACCCATATAAAGAGAATACTCCTTCTCATGATTACTATTTAGCTCTGATTTGTGTAGTGTTTCCTATAGAAATCTATTCAGGCAACATAATATATGGAGGAAAGGTTTATTCTAAACATAGTGGAAATGAGGGATCAATTATGATGATCCAATACTATTGGTAATAATAAATATTTTAGGATGGCCCCCTTAGGAATTAATGTTTAGTAAACTTGAGCTAGGGGAAAAATTAAGAATGATGTTATTAGGTGGGAATTACCTTAATAGAAGGTCATAACCATGGAGAGGTTTTAAATAGATTATTATCTATTGGCCAAATCATGTTTTTATGATATTAAATAGATCAATTTACTTCCCTCTTTTAATTTTAACTATCCCTTAATAATATCATTATTATCGTTTCTAGGGATTCTTTTGATCATGAGTATATGATAGCATAATGAGACATTCTAATTGATGGTAATGGAAATACCCTATTATATAGTGCATATGTTTCATGATCATTCAATTGCTAAGAGGGTCCATAACTTCGATAATAGTCACCATTGTCCCTTATTAACAATGATCAAATTCTCCTCTCTCGTACCCAGTATCATTGTTTAAGTTATTGATACTCTATTACTACCCTCATCATCATCCACCTAAAAGCAATACCCGAGTTGTTAAAATAATCTTTTTAAAAATTATCTACATATTAGGGTATCCACCAATCACATATTAAGTCAATAAGTTTAATGATTACCCTAGAATCGGCTAAAATAGGTCATCTTAGTCGTCCACCAAATTGAAATACATTCTCTTGAATAAGGCATCCTTTCCCATTAATTACTCGAGTCTAGTAAATGGGAACTCTTATTGGCTCATGGTGATAATCAACCATATATCATCCCATTCTCAATTGTAATCATTAGTAATTAGGTTGATGACTAAGATAGGTTATGTAAATAAACCATATTAACATGGAAATCAACTTATCCTTGACATTATAGGGCATCATTATTGGGTTCATAGCCAATAAAGGAGAGAGGGTATTTCAATTTAAGTCGGCCTTGGAAGAGGCATACATGAGAAAAGAATAGGCCTTGGTTACCAAGAAATAAAGATGGTCACTTCTTCCTCTAGGGAAACAAATCATAGGCGGTAAAGAGAGAGAAAGCATGAGGGGAAGAGAGAGAGCTTCCATAGGTGCCTCTCCTATTCATAATATAGACATTAGAAAAAGGCATGATTTGTTTCTCGCTACACAAATGATATTTCCTTATCATTTGACTTAAATTCTAATGGGCAATTCCTCTTTCTTTGATTTTTTCATACTAAATGATTATAACATTGTAATATAATTTATCTTCGTTATATAAATGAGCGCAATAAAAATACACTATAACTATTATTTATAACCATAAGAATAGTAAGAGATTAATTAGGGATAAACACCCCTAATTAGTGAAAGCTAGAATGGACCATAACCCTCTTAAGCCCTTTGGCATGTAGTGCCAATCCCTTAATTCTTCTTAATTCTTTTATGTCATATAGATTGGAGCCTTGAAAAAGGTTATAAATAATCATCACCCTATCGATGGCATTGGTTCTAACTCATGCTATAAGGTTCAAAAGATTGGTCGATAGTACCATGAACAAGCCTTAAAATGGTGGCCTCGAAATTCCTCTCATATCATTTGTGTAATATTTCTAGACCATATATTGAAATAAAGGGAATAGCAAGTCATGTTGGATGGGTTGATCATAGAAACACCCTCCAATATGTTTTAGAAATATTACACAAATGATATGATAGGATTTCCCAAGGCCACCACTTCCTCAAATTTTAGGGATTGTTCATGGTATTGGACTATATTCATCATATAGAATATATTCCCTCTTTTGAGAAGCCCTAAAATTTGAACCTCTCCCTCATCCGACTAATTATTGCCTAAGATCTCCAAATACTAGTTCACATAATGAGATAGGACCTATCCTTTACATGCACTTACTCTTGCAACCACTTTTATTAGAACATGTAGGGATAATAAATATAGGAAAGGGTAATGAATATTACCCCTGTATGATAAATATGACCTTAACTATAGAGTAATGTACAATCTATCTCCATGTTTGAGGGCATCTTTAATGCCTCTCCCACCATATATAGTAAAGGAGGGTCTCTATATTATTAGATACCCACATCATTAATATTGTATATGGTTGGTGCAAATATTAAGTTGATAGGGATAACCTCTATTAATCTCACCTCATCATTAGGATTACAATATTGTATATTAAAAGGTTACACATGAATGATTCGTTTACTATGGGCATGTCAACTAAGTATGGAGTGAGTCCTTTAAAATGAATTTCCTATGTCGAAACATATTCTTATATGAGGGAGAGAGTAAGAGAGCCATGTATTACCCTTCAACCATAAGTTTTCCGATGGCCTAGTTTTATTCCCCTCTTGTTAGTATAAATACCCTATATTTGATGGGACTCATCTTCGATTATGGGAATCTAATTGTCTTTCATGATATTTACTTTGATTATGAGATACATTAAATTAGTTTATGAGATAATATTATTGAAGGTCTAATTGAGTATGTCTTCTTATTTGGAATATCCAAATTAAGGAAAACGGGTGTTCTCTATAAAACTAGGTCTGCATATAAAAACTTGTTGTTGAAGCAAGTATCAATTTAATATTTCCCTTTCATAATTATTTTGGTGATATTAATACAGCCCATATTAACTAATTAACGTTCCACCCTTTTCATGCTCTCTTATTTGCTTCAACCACAAGTTTTGAATCCAACTCAACTTAGTGATGGCGTACTCAATTAATAAATGAAACTAGAGCCCACAGATCCTAATATCATGAAGATGACAGACTAAAAGGTCATATGTCATGGTTTATTCCCTACAACGACAAATCAACTAGGCTCTTTCTTGGACTATTATTATCGCTTAATCCCTCTCCACTCTAAGTAAGGCTTTCTTTAATTTATCAGGAGAGGGAAGGAAATGAAGGGACATCTAAGAGAGTCATTGGTCAATTAGAATTTGGTTAAGGAATAGTTTAAGACAGGGGAATGTATAAGCTATTAGGAACCATATTCCTAACTTGGTGATAGGGAGTCTTTGTAGGCACACAAATGGTAGAACTGAGCTTAAAATCTTAAAAGTAAATCAAGGCGATCTTGTAAGACTCACTTTTTCACCTAGCTTGTAAATTTAGATGCAAATAAGGTATAATGCTTTTTTCAAAACTAGTCATAGTTTATTGGTAAAGTGACAATGAACAAAAGATAATAATTTGGAAGGAAGAATTATAAGGATATTTACCTTATCATGCCGTAGTAGGGTGATTTACCACGCTCAATAGTCATAGATAATAATGATATTTATTAGTCCTTAATAGCCTACGATAAAAAAATTGGTCCACATCTCACATGGTTTATTCTACGAATTCATTCCCTCCTAGAAATGTCTTAGTACAATATTATAATATGAAGAATAAATAGTCTCCCTCATTTATTAAATAATAAGGACTCTTCATTCTCAATTGGGGATAAAACAGAGGGTGAAATAAAAGATACTCTCCCTATGAGAAATAATTCAATAAAACTAATGTTATTTTTTTAGAACAAGGTTAGCCAATCCTAGGTTTCCTGCTAAGGGTGAACCATGGTTTTCAGAATTTTAATAAGGTGAAGGGAAACCATGGATAACGATATTTAAACACAAATGTAGGCTTATTTCTTACATTGTACAATAATCATAATATACTGTAAGTGGTTGCTGGGATACTACGTAATCTGTTTAAATATCAGATTGGTGGATTGTTAATAAAGAGGTAATACGTATGGCCCATATATGCTCCAACTAGTCTAATCGAGGGATATTGCTAATACCATAGGTCTATATATAAATAATCTTTTGTTTATCAAATTCACCAAGGGCTACAATTATAATGACTATACTTATTACCTAAGATGGGGTGAATATCATAGATAACAATATCCATGTATGTTAATCAATTTATGAGTCCTATATTCTTAATTGGGGATAGAAGAGAGGGAGAAGTAAAAGAGACTCTCCTTATAAGTAATATTTCAATAGGACTCATGTTATTTTTTAGAACAAGGTTAGCCAATCCAAAGTTTCCTACTAGGGGTGAACCTTGGTTTTTAGAATATTAATAAGGTGAAGGGAAACCATCTGATACTGATATTTAAATAGAAATGTTTCTGTAAGCTTATTTCCTACATTGGACAATAATCATAATATACTATAACCAATATAGACTCATCTGCTAATACCCTCGTTTCAAGGGATATAAATTCACTTAGATTGAACCATATTATAAATAACTACTCTACAAACTATAGAGATAACTATGGCGAGTCTATATTGGTTTAAATATCAATATGAACTATAGTATATATTGTAGGTGCTTCATTTCCTCTAATCACATATAGAGTTAGGTATCTATATTTCTTGGGTTTTAGTGCCAAGGTCAATGTTATAGGGATAAACTTTACAATTAACCTATCTTAAAATAATCGTTCCCCTCATGTTGAATAAGGGGGACGACTATTGAAATTTTTTATAATAGTATATTCTAAAAGGATTTTTAAAGTCCTAATTTATTGTAATACCATTTTTCATAATTAAGATGGTAATATTGGCCTCCATAAGGGATAATTTTATTTGTGTCCTATATAGAATAAATGAGTTCATAACTAATGGAGATGGTGTATATAAGTCATCATGCTATACATCCCTTTTACAATAGTTAATTCTATATAGGATACTATTACGGAAAATTTTAATAATCGTCCCCCTATCTCTCGCTACTAATTCTATCTTCCTAGAATTATTTCACTATATGAGAGAGAAGGAGAAAGAGAAAGGAGGAGGGGTAGAGGGGAGAAAGGTGAAAGGGTTTATTTCATACCAAGGAAGCTATATTCATGTTTATTATCAAGCCCGCATTAGCGTTGGTCCGCATTACTAGGACAAAGAAGGTTAATGGCTTAGGAAGGGAGAGAATTATATGATTATAGAGGCCAACTATCAACCATGTTAAATTGTTCTCGAAAATGTTCTCGTAATCAAAGTATTCTAATTGATATGACAAATCTAACTCTGTCCCTTCCTACCCAAATTAATCGGTTAATTTATCGCATTTTATTCAATATAGCTATACTAAAGAATTATTAAATAGGGGTTATAGCCTATCGGGATTGACATGATGATCTTGCTCATGTCAACATACAAGAGATGTATATTATCATCTATGGATGATTTAATATAAAACACAACCTTAATTTGAACTATCCCTAACTTGGTCCAATCAATGACATCTATATGTGAAACCAATCACTCTTTGGTATTCATTGATTTAGGAGATAACTTTCCCATATTTCTGCTACCTACTTGCTCGTTTGAATATTCCTCCAATGCATTAAATATACCCATCCATTTAATCTCTCTTTAGGATGATCAAATATTTTTTAGAGGCCCTCCTCGATTGATAAATTGCATCCTAAGTGATTAATGAATCTAGGATTGTACAACATGCCATCAAATTTTTGCATCATTATCGAGGAGGGATAGTTCAAATTAACTTTTTCTTGGTGCTTTAATGTGGTACTACATGTTACCAATATTAGACATTGATCTATTTACATAGGACCATCGATTTTATCCCCAAATATCTAATTTTGAGTTTAAGATAAGGCTCAGCAGATTAGGTATAATAAGACCAACATAATTATTCCCTTAGTAGACCCTTAGCCCATTAGAAGGTATTTAATATATTCACCTACACTTCTTCGGTGAATTCTTGGGAATATCATCGAGCAAATTCTCCCTATTGGTCAACTACCAATATTAATGACATATTGGTACTTCAATATTGAAACCTATTATATCAAACATGGCTTAAATGGCATAATATTTAAACATGAGAGAAGCTTTGATTATTACTAGGTGACCATTTTCAACTAAAAAAAATATTGTTTAGGCTCTCAAAATTAGCTTTTAAGGGGTGCACTAAGGAGAGTTTCCCTTTATCCCTATGGATAAAATTTACCAATTTAATGTCCCAATCGTAAGGAGGCTTAATATAAGAGAGGGAATACCATGAAGGATAGAGTTTAATAATGGGGAACTATTTCAAAATGTTGAAATGACAAAATAAATGGAGAGGGTAAGAGGGAGGGAAAGGTTATATTTTAAGAGACAATATAATTTGAGATTTGTCACCATGAATTTTGAAAAACAATAATGAGAAGTGATGTGGACAAACTAATATCCATTTGAGATTATTTTATATAGGCCATCATTTCGGTGACATGCTTTTATACGAGGTTTGATGATAGCTCTCCTATAAGAGTAGATATTCGTAAACTTATTATGCCTATCCTATTGCTAGTAGGATATGGAGGGAGAGTTTTTTTATCGCACTCAAATGTTTAATCCCCACTAGTCTCTTAATAGAAAAAGGAGAGGCATCAATTTATGGTACTACATTTTATTGTTCATGAGGGGGTTAACGTCGATACTCTTCATGATATATTCTTTGTGGGAACTTTGATTCCCTAATCACTATTTTATTGTTCATCCTAAAAAGGTATGTGATACTAAATTTTCCTTGATTATACTATAGTATGATATTGATACATGCATCAAAATGGTTCACTTGGTATTCAACTGAACCGTATGGCAAAATAATGCTACATGACCATATGAGATTAAACTTCTCGTTGATTCCCTAACTAGGTCAAATATCCCTTGTTAAGCATGGATAAAGACATACTCCCACATATCCCCCTTTCTCTAACTATAAGTATTTAACAAAAAACCATAATCCTTCATTGATTTGGAATTTTAACCTAAAATTGAAAGATACCTTCAAGCTGAAATAGCAAAGAGGGGACCATCTAATGAGAGAAAGAGGGCCCCTCTTAGCGGAAGAAAGAGGCCTCCTCTTAGTACACTCATCTTATAGATGGGGAATATCTTTACAATATATCCAAAAGGTATGATAATAGTTATTTTTGTACCAATATTCTCCCTATCAAAATGGGCATTGAGATAGTCTTTTACTATTTATTAGTATGTCAATCTACACTCGCATATAGAAAGGGAGAATGTTGATACTAAATATAGGGTGGACTATCTCACTCTAAGAGCTTTTCTTGATCAAAATTTCCCTAATTTTTCTAACTTAAACTCTCTATCCCTCTATGTGGAACCATCTATGACCCAACCAATCACCTTTATTTGAGAGGGATGTTACCTATACACTCTTGCACATGGATTCAATCCTAATGGTTAAAATATCTTTTCGTATTATAAGCCTATTGTGAGCAAGGAGTGTAACATACCATCCAAGCAATCTGACTTGCCCAAAGATAATTTACGGACATGGCTATGAGGATATTTTAGCTTATCTATCCCTCTTAATATCCCAATAGTACGATTGGAAATCTTTGCTTCATACATGTAATAGGGAATGGACGTTAGCTTCTCAATAGATTATAAATCCTTAGAGAGAGGGAGAAAGGGACAAAGCCTCTATTTTAAACTCAAATGTGAACTATATCTAAAGGCCCTCTCTCTCCCTCCCTCTTCCTCTCTCTATCCAAAAGAATTCTCTAAAGAATAAATCATGGTGTTGCTTATGGAATTGGTTCCAAATGAGCAATGAGATTAGGAGACATTGTATAATTAATTATCAAGGATAATCTTAACATTTTGAAACCTAACCTTATAGAGAGGCAATTTTCCTTTTGAACACCATCCCTTCCCCTATTTATCCGAGTTATAAAATGCTAAATGTTGGAAAAAGAGAAGAGAGGAAGCTTTATTATGTAGTGTATCCAAAATATCAATAAGGTATTCCCATTAGAGAATGACATTAGAGGAATAATTTAGTTAAAGGGCCTAAGCTTTGTGAGTGATGGAGAAGCTTATGCCCTTCCCCTCTCCCCCCCCACACTCCCTTTCTCCTTTTTAATCCTCTTCTCTCTCTTTCACCCTCTCTTCTCCTCTCTATCTAGCAGATCATAAAGCTATTAGATTAAGGCCTGAATCAATCAAGCTGAACATATCCTTTTTCACATGATTAGAGCCTTTACCTAGAGAAAAAATGGTTCTCTCTCCATTGTATTTTGAATCTATATCCTAACACCCTAAAACCACGATAGAATCGATCCAGGAGATCATATTAAGGAAGGAAAAGAGGGAGATGCTAGATAGGAACTTATATACTATCATTTCTAGGAGGGAATGGAGTACCAACATAAGATGGAAGGCGTGTTAATTCTCCTCTCTCTACCCCTCTCTTTCCTAACAAGCTTCACCAATTTATCATATATTGGTTAATAATTATGATAAATTTAGTTAATATCTTACTATATTCGAATAATATTATAGTAATTTAATATTATCCAAAATCATATATATAATCATTAAATTATAGAGAAATTAATATTGTTTTAATATTCATAAGGATCATGAAACTAGATATTACTCGGTTGATAATAAATATAAATTCAATGTGTTAGATTCTTGGAATGATAATAGGGTATTAATCCATCACTATAACTTGAAAATGAAGATATTAACCTTACCTTCAATATCTATATGATTGCTTGTTATATCCCTATCCCTCCTTAAATTATAGCTAAGAGGACCAATTAACATGGGGAACCCATCTCTTCTCCTATTAAATATAATCTAAAGGAGAACACCTTATTTCTTGGTCATAAACCTTGTGAAGTGAGATAATGACTTAGAGATCATATTCTTTTGGATAACCTAGGGGTTATTAACCAACTCAACTCTCAAATATATGCTCCATTTTAATAATAGAGGTCAATAGATATTTTACTTGATAATATTAAACTTAAACTTGTTTTAATATCAAATGACCATCTCTCCTTCCCCGGAGGACTTTGTGGGACAATCGTACTCTCCCTTGTTGAAACTCTCCCTCTAATTATTATCTAGGAATTAGAGTTAGGGTCTATTTGTTAATTCTCCATTCAATCTAGGAGAGGAAGAAGTAACTATTAAGAAGGTGAATTTACCTATAAAAGACATAAACAATCAGTTAAGAGAAAGACATGTAAATGCTAGTGATAATTCACCAAATTAGGAGCCTAACCAAATATTCTATTTGTATTATAATAGTTTATAAAACACCATAGGATTATTTAGTGAATTTATGATAAATTATAACTAATTTAAATCATTAATAGGTATTTATCTCAACATTTAATGATATCATTTATAATTTTGTAAAAATCATATTATGCTCCTTAATATGATCTCCATACGAGCAATGTGGCGCCATCTTAAGAGAGGAGGTGGTTCCATCACATACCCATGAATAATCGTCATGGTTCATATCTTGTTTTAACTAAATAATACTATTCTTCATTTGACCTTCAGATATCTAATGGTATGTCTTATGATGAAAGAGGAGGAATACATGAGAAAAAGGAAGCAATAGATATTAAAAGGACATCTATAGGCCATGATTTGTTCATAATAATTAGCTTAACATGGTATTATAAAATTGGATTAGTCTCTATCCGTAGGCATACAATTAGGGGTATGTTCTTGCTAGGGGTGATGTATAGATAATACAGTATTATTCAGTTAAAACAAGATATGAACCGTGATGATTATTGACGAGTACATGATGGATAGTAGACAAATATTTTAAGGGGGCATGATACCATTAAAATGAGCGAGAGAGAGAGAGGGAGATGGGGATAGAGAATAAGATGGACTAGAGTATCTTCTAGTCACTAGGGGTATTTCTATTATGTTGCAAGGAACTAATAGTTAGAGGGTGATAATAGATATTCTTATGTTAGCATAAAAATATAATTAGTCCAGATTTGGCCTCTATACGGGAATATAGATTGTAATGGGAATTAAATACAAACTTTCCTCCCAACGAGTCACCAAGAACTTGTTTGATCAGCTATATTCCGAAGGCTAGGCTATATCATCCCAATACCGTCTTAATCAAGTTGGGTTATTATGTCTTATTATTCGACAATAGGGAAAGTCTATATTTAATTACCATTACAATCTATATTCCCGTACGGAGGCCAAATCTAGACTAACTATAGTTTTATGCTAACATAAGTATATCTATTATCACCCATCTAATAATATATCCTTTTGGAAAAGTATTAAAAGCTATCCTTATAATTGACCTATCTTAAGTGACCCTTGCTTAGTGATTACCACCTAAACATGGAAAATAATAATAAGATGTTTAATACGATCACATCTTATTTATACTGCAAGGATAAATCCTTAGGATATCTAGATGATATTTAGGAGTAATAGAACTTTTATTATGCAACCTTAGTATTGTAATTGGTGGAGACTATGTTTCATTCCTATATAGACAAGAGGGACATGGATTTATGCTCCACGATAAAAGGTCTAATTAACCACCTCAATTATTATGATGCCCCTAGCTCCCTTACCAATTACCTAAGAGGCATGGCTTGGTGCGTTATAGTTTAGAGACTAAAGTTTCGATTTACTCCCATGATACATGGCCAATAAATAATAATAGATTAAGTATAAAAGTACGTATAATAAAATTTACACAATTTTAATGAATACTATCACGAAGTCACATAATATCTAAGGTGTTATTTATACACTACTAGACACCGTACCTTATGTTATTATCAAAAGAGATTTTTATGTTTTTTGTGTCACGGATGAGCCCTTTTCTAGGAGGAACCGATAGCTTCTTTATCATCACTACTATCACCCTCACCTGTCATGGCATGAAGTAATAACAAGGTGAGTCGAAGCTCGATAAGTAGGGTGATGCACGTGAGATGTAGTGTTATCCTATCACTTAGCCTTTCCCCATTAATTTTAATTCGGGCACCCTAGGTATTAGCAAGTCTACTCTATTCTCATTCATCGGTGATTGCCAAATCACCTGCTGCTAGCAACAAAATTATCCCTCGTTGTAACACATGATTAGTGGAATTATCCATCGCTTAACGGTGTAGTCAATTAATAGAGAGCGCTCACGACTTCATTGCTAATACCCATTTAATCTAGTTAGGTTACCAAACCTATCTAATTTCAAACCAATTTGGTTACCAAACCTCATCATTTCTTGACTCAATTTTTTTCTCAAGTCAATCCACCCCCAAATGCATATGATGCATGTGATGTTTTGTTTATCACATTCCACCAATCATAGGTACCAAACCCTTCATTTCTATACCACACTCGGAATCCAATCCACACTTGGGATTTCATATATTTTTCATAGTAGTCATGCAAAGAATACAAGACCCATCCATTAGGGTTAATCAATTCTTATATTTTAGTCCTAGGAACACGTTTGAGCGTATTTGAAGTGAGATTCCATTCCTAACCCAAAATTTAGCCTTATTAGCTTAATTTAGCTTCTAATAATTCTAGGTCCCAATTTCAATTTTTCTTGAAATGTTACCTCCCAACACTTCATTTTATACTTATTCGAGTCTAATATGAACACGTTTGAGCACATTTGGATGATTGGAACCCAAACCCCTAAATTTGTGGGTTTAGGCCGTATGGGTTCTCAAAGTGGCAAGAGATTCTCTTTTGTTTCTATGCAATTTCTTTTCATCCTAACTTACTAATCTATGCTTAATTAGGTTACCATTGAGTTCTAGATCTTTAGTTACATTAAAAAAACCAAACTTTGGCCATTTTAGTACCTAGGCCGAATGATTTCCTTAAGGATACTCTAAGAATTTTTCCTCTTTCTTGCTAAATTATTCTTCCAAGTCCATGTCCATCATAGTTAAATCCATCCAAACTTTAGTCCAAGCCCAGTTGTTGTAACCAAACCCGTCAACGCATATTTAGGCATACACAACACATGGATACATAAACATACCAAGCATTCATAATCACAAATACAATCCAACCATTAATTTCACATCAAGCCATCAAACACAAAATACTAATATGAATATACTATAACAACATAATAGAAAGCTTTAAACTATCACCTAATTTAAGCACATATAAATGAAAGTTATGGCATAACATAATGCAACATAAAACCTACTTACTTTGATTTAAGCTTTCCTAAACATTTCCTAGCTTTTCCCTTTTTCCTTTCTTCTATCTTTCTATTCTTTCTTTTCTATTTTCTTCCCCTCTCAATTCCGTTTCCTTTCTTTCTTTAGTGAGTTACGATTTTTCCTAAAAAATGGCTAAGTCTAACTCTCTCTCACACTTATATACTCCACCTTTTTTTTTCTCATTAATTAGTATAACATGTGTCTTAATTTTATGGCTATAAGGTGTAAAGTGAGGGAGAAAATGGAAGCAAGGTGGCGGGTTTGAAGTCCAAGTTTGCTAGGTGTCACTAATTAGAAAAATGTAGAAGATTAGGTGTCCAATTAGTAACTAAAAATGGGTAACTAAAAGGTAACTAAACTAACCAAATTTCTAAGGTAGTTTGGTTCCAATAATTTGGCATTTTCACCATATTTAGGTGATTGTTTCATTTGCATGGCCTTTTTAGATATATGTTATAGAAAAATGTATAATGGCTAGCTAAATACCCAAAAGTTTAATCCTATAAACACTCCTATGAACATTAGGTATTTTAATACCACAAACATTAAAGAAAATGTCACATAAATTATACCCACATCCAATATATGTTTATAGATATTCTAGTATATATATTTACAAGGTTAAGAATTTTCATGGGAGTTACATTTCTCTCCTCAAAATTTTGGCATTCATTTAATTTTTAGGCAATTCCCCAAATTTCAGCACTCTCCGAGACCTTTAGATAATTTTTGTCACTTCATGGTATGTTCTAAACATGTGTTAAAGGAAAGAAACGGTAACTAGCTAGGTTGCCGAAGTTCATCCCATAAATCCTCACATAAACACTAAGCATGTTAACATCACAAAATATTAAAACAGCACACAAATCACACCTATACTTAGTATATACTATATAAATATTCCAGTACATATAAGTATGTGGTTAAGGATTTTCACGAAGGTTATATTTCTCCCCTCTTTAAATGAAATTTCATCCTCGAAATTGGCTTACTCGAATAACTTTGGGTATTATCTTTTATTTTTTCATCCCGTTCCTAGGTCATTTCTTTGAGGTTGTGATTCTCCCATAAAATTTTAACTAAGGTAATTTCTTTATTTCTTAGTTGTTTGACTTATCTAGAATGCTGGATTGGTCTTTTCTCATATGTTAAGTCCAGGGTCGGGTTCGACGGTGCTATCTTCGGAATCTAGCTAGGTTCTCCAATACATTTCCTTAAAATGAACACATGAAACACATTATGTACTCTTAACAAAGATGGTAGTAGCAATAGTCGATACGGCGATAGTAGACTCAATTTTTCTTTCTTCCCAAATCGTAGTACGCCTTTCATTGATGAAACCCTTAAGAAAACATAGTCACCAACTGCAAACTCTATATCCTATCTCCTCTTATCGATGTAGCTTTTCTATCTACTTTAGGCCATCTTCATTCGTTGATGAATCTTACCCACTACCTCAATTGTTTGTTGCACCAACTGCGGGTCCAATAATTTCTTTCTCCTACTTCATCCCGAGTGTATTGGGGATCCGTACTATCATCCATACTTCATAAGGAGCCACCTCGATTGAAGCTTGATAATTGTTGTTATATGTAAACTTAGATAATCATACATATTTTTCCCATTTCTTAGACCAATCTAGAATGCATGCTAGTAACATGTCTTCGAGAATGCGAATGACCCATTCGGATTATCCATTAGTCTATGGATGGTACGCCATGCTGAAATTTAACCTTGTCCCCATGGTCCTATGTAAACTCTTCTAGAATGTTGAGGTGAATCTAAGATCTCGATTTGACACGATTGAGATCGGGACCCGATGTAGCTTCATAATTTCATAAATATACAACTAAACGTCTTGACTTAGGCTATAAGTGGTCTTAAGCTGGAAGGAAGTGTCCCAATTTGGTCAACTCTGTGCACAATCACCCAAATGGCATTTGACCCCTTTTTCAATCTTGGCAATCCCATGAAAAAATCCATAGTGATATGTTCCATTCTGGAATTGCTAATGGTTTTAATACTCCTGTGAGCCTTTGATGCTCCGCCTTCACTTATTGACGGGTCGACACCTTGCCACATAACTCATCACGTCTTTCTTCATTCCCCATTAACAATAACATTGTTTCAAATTCTAATATATTTTAGTACTTCCTGGATGTATTGAGTATGGAGATATGTGTGCCTCTCTCAATATTTCTTCAAATCTGCTACCAAAGGAACACAATCTTTTCTTAAATTTGACCACTTCCTTGTCATCAATAATAAGGCTAGACTCATTCCCGACCTCTACACTTTTCTTGCATTCCTTGAACCTTTCATCCATTTGTTACCCTATTTGAATTCTTTCTTGCGAGGTCAATTTGGACTAATAAAGTTGACATGACACTTTCGTGGCCTATAAGGATTACCTT